GTTATTTCGGCAAAACGTGCTGTTCTGTTGTCAAAAGTCCTTTTCTGCGGTTTGTTTATACTCACAACTCGTCCAATAACATCTGCAAGTAGTACAACAAATATTTAAACATTTATTAAAATAAGAATAAAAGATTTATTAAAGTACCAATGAATGAAAATTGTACCGATGAGCATAGGGTCGAAAAAGGTTTCTTTAGCCAACTCAGGAAAGCTCGTGAAATTGTAGAGGAATTTTGGAAACCTGTCGTCTGAAACTTTCACCACCCGAGTGCGGCCATGAAAAGCAATTTTGTACCTTCCTATTGTTGTCTTATACCTACCACCGTTTGGAGCTACAATAAAGTCCCTGATTGCAATAACACTTCCTTCCTTCAGATGGCGCCTAAAAAGCTCCATATGAAACTTCTTGATAGAGGCATGAATACGGTACCCCTGAAATTAACAAAAAAAAAAAAAATAAATAAAATAAAACAATCAATTATAAGGGAAAAATTATTATAAAAAAAAACATTTATAAATAAATCAATTATAAGGGAAAAAATTTTATATTGAATGTGAATATTGAAATCGATTTACCTCAGAATCATGGAGTATTAATTCAAGACCCAAAACTGTAGAGCGATCCCCAAATGCTGTACGCTCGTAGCATCTTACAACACGAACCTTGATGTTCCACTCAGTCTTGTCCATGTTCACATTCTTAAGAAGAGTGAATGCCATGATTTTTTGTTTGCGTGTGTGTTTTGAAGTGAAGGTACGATATAATGATTCTGGAATAGATGTATTTATTTATAATGATTGAATAATACTCCATATTTCATCCCACTACAAAACGCGTTAAAGATTGTTGAGGAGTCCTATAACTGCACGTAATCCCATAAATGCACGATGTGCGAGTACTCCTTAACTCCTTAACTGCCCGTGCGAATACTTCTTAACTGCCCAAGCCAACGACGTACGTTAATCTTCTTAATATCTCATCTTAATCTTAATCGTAATCTTAATCTAGTATAGTTAATATCTTAACTTTACTTAATATTTTAAAACATATAACACACAAACATTTTTCATTATTTTTTTTATAATAAATAAATAAATAACATATAACATGTTTGTAAAATAACATTTTTCATTTTTCATTTATTGTTTATTGTTTATTGTTTAATAGTATAAAAATGCAGCAATTACGAATGAACACGTAGGTGAAACTTAATATCTGAACACAATAGATATAATTTTTATACTTTATACTTTATAGATTAAAATAATTATAAGTATTCTTATGCTTCTTGCCTGAGTTTTATAAATTTTTTTATCTAAAATTTTTTGTACAAATATTAAATCTAATAGTAGTGAAATTAAATATATAATATTTTAAAAACATGTAACACACAAACATTTTTCATTCTTCATAATAAATAAATAAATAACATGTGTGTAGAATATTTTTTATTTCATTTTCTACAACATACAAATTAAATCTAACACGGTTTACGTAGGAATGTAAGTGAATTATTTTATTATCTGAAAACGATATATACTATTAGTATTACTATTACTGTATAATTATAATTATAATTATTAATATTAATATTATATTATTATTATTATTATTATTATTATTATTATCATTATATTATTTATTCTATTATGTATTATTTAACTGCTGCAATCTGCAATTGAAATCTGCAATTAAACCCAGTTCTTCTCCCTGCGTCTGCCACCACTAACAAACACGAACAACGCCACCACACAAAAGATTTTTCCTGCAATTTTTATCAATTTTTCTAGCTGTTTGATGCTGAGTGATTCAACTGCTGTTAACTGAAATTCAGACGATTACTCAATCGAATGGGAATGAAAAGTAAACCCTAAACTCTCTCAACCTACGGCGACCACTCAAGCTCTCACCGGCCACCGCTAAAGGCGCTTCCGTCTCATCATCACCGCCCAGAGACCTTCGGCCGCCGCAACCGCGCAGGCGCGCTCAAGCTGTCGAAGAATTCGGCACTCGCTCAATCCTCAGTCTCAACTCGTCAATCTTCAGGTACATTTGAGCTATGGTCTTCGATTGGATTTGTTCATCCTATTAATCGCTTGAAAAAATTTCTGTAGTGAATGTGCTCAGAGACCAAGTCATTATCACCGATAAATTTAGCCATGATTGATGACTTATGATTCCTGGAAAATGACATCACATCTACGAAATTGGTGAAGTTGATGTGTAGATGATGGATAATATTGTAAAGAGGGCAAAAAAATAAAAAGAAAAAAAAAATGAAGGGCTGGTGTTTCTTAAGCTCATTGTTTCATCCATGTTCTTTCCTGTTTATCTTGTCCAAGTCACAGTTATTTGTTCATGGACATGAGTTGTTGTACCTAATACATTAAGGAAGAATGTTGCAGTAACTTGGTGCTTTGGTCCTGGACTGATATGTAGAATTTATCATAGGCTTTTCACTTCGTAAAGTGTTTGGTTGTTCATTTGATATTTCCAAGATAATAGCTAACCACTTATTTGTATTTGTTATTGTTTTTTGAAGTGTGAAGTGCAAGTTTAAGGTTGAGATTTTAGCCTTTCAAGAGATCATGTCAGACTCACCGGCCCTTGATAAACGAGAGTATTGTAATTCGGTTGCATGAGTTGGCTACATCGGTGTACATTTTAGCATATAGCTCAGGACATTTGGCAACCCTTTGATATTTTATATCTAGAGACAAAGGACTACATTTCCTGTGCAAGTTAATCAAGTCAGAGTAAACATGCTAGCAGCTGCTCAGATTCGTCCCATCGTTCACTCCTGTCACAGGTCTTGTTCCCCTTTCCCTCTCTTCGCACTTGCAAACACAATACAACCAACTTAAACAAAAAAAAAAAAAAAAAAGAATCTTCCCTTCTTAAGCTTCATAGACAATTCATGTTTTTTTAAACTTTTCTTTGAAAAATTTTCAGGATTCGCCCATTCAGTTTAACTTCCCCATCAAAAACCACATCTTTGCACCTAGGTCACCTCGCCAGAAAACTCGATTTTCTCGAACGAGCCAAGGTTCACGGCCTCCCCTCTCCTCTCCGAAAGCCCTCACCCGTTGCTGCTGCCCTAAACACCAGCGATGGCCACCCGAGCACCTCCTCCATCGCCGAAGAACACCCACCGAACGAACCAAACGACAGACCAAACGCACTCCTCTCAAACTGGGCCCCACCCAGGTACCTCTGGCGGGCCCTTTCCATCCTCATCCTCGCTGGCCAAGTCGTCACTCGATCCCTCAACGGCAAAATCCACTTGAAAAACACCTTCCAACAGCTAGCACGCGTGGGCCCGAGATCTGTTGGTGTCTGCCTCTTAACCTCCGCCTTTGTTGGCATGGCTTTTACAATCCAATTCGTGCGCGAGTTCACTCGACTCGGCCTCAACCGGTCTGTAGGCGGCGTTTTGGCCCTTGCCTTCTCTCGAGAGCTAAGCCCGGTTGTCACGTCTATTGTGGTCGCGGGCCGGATTGGGAGCGCCTTTGCGGCAGAGCTTGGGACGATGCAAGTTTCCGAGCAGACGGACACGTTGAGGGTTTTGGGTTCGGACCCTGTGGACTATCTGGTGACTCCACGGGTTTTAGCCTCGTGTGTGGCTCTCCCGATTTTGACACTGATGTGTTTCGTAGTGGGTATGGTGTCGAGCGGGCTGCTGGCGGATGGGGTTTATGGGGTGAGCATTAATATAATCTTTAATTCGGCTAGACGGGCTTTGAGGTCGTGGGACATTATAAGCTCCATGATAAAGTCGGGGGTTTTCGGTGGGATTATATCGGTCGTGAGCTGCGCGTGGGGGGTGACGACTATGGGTGGGGCGAAAGGTGTGGGGGAGTCTACTACTTCGGCTGTGGTGGTCTCGTTGGTCGGGATTTTCATTGCGGATTTCGCGCTCTCGTGCTGTTTTTTCCAGGGTGCTGGGGATTCTTTGAAGAATTGTATGTGAATTATTTTTTTCCTTTTTGGTTTGGAGGAAATGAAGTCTCTATATGTTGGTTGTTTTCTTCTTTGGGTTCTGTAATTGTTCGAATTCGAATTCGATGTGGGACTGTGATCTTTCTGACATTTGAACAAGTTTTGAGGTGTCACTGTGTTGGATTGTCATGGTTGTGTGGGTGTACTGTGGCCAGTGGAAATGAAGTTTTGTGTATTATGATATGCTTGAGATACTATCCGAAATAAGAAATGTATTACACAATCTAATCTCTTGGGATTGTGTAGTGTTAGTAATCTACAACTGTCAAATGCATTTATCATTGTTTTAATAACTGAATCGATTGATCTAAGGATCGATATATAACTTAAACAAACACATTAGTGCTTTTGATTATTTCAATTTTCAATTCTCCACAACTGGAAATGATAATAAATAAATATAACAAAAGAACCCTTTGCAGACACAACTATTACAGAGCCTCGTGCGATGCACGGGGTGCACAATTTTAAGGTTATTTATCCGGTCTTATAATTATACAAATGAATAAAAAAAAAATGTACGGAATATATATAGTACGAGACCTGTGCGATACACGGGATATATTTCTTTGGGGAATATTATATTACTAGTACAACTCCCGTGTATTACACGGGTGCTTGTTAAAAAATTATTTTTAAATTTTAAAATTAATGAGAAAACTATATTACATTTAGTTTACTTTTTTACAAAAGAAATATATTACTATATATTTTAGAATGATATGTGTTACATATGACTTACATGTGTTATATTATATTAGTTTTTATAACTTATATCATATAACTACTCGAAATATAAATATATTAGGTGATAAATAATTTTATTTTTCTAATTAATATTAAAAATAATTTTATTATTGTTATAAAGATAAATATAAATTATTTTTTATACATACAATATGGATCTTAAATCGAAGCTCGTCAAAAGAAGATTAATTTGATATATTACATATGTAAAACTGATAAAAAATACAAAAGTTATTAAATTTTAAAATATATATACAATTCAATAGTTATAATAAGGAATGATATTAAAATACAATTAATACATGTAACATGACCATAAATAATCAACATATTTATGGTAATCCGAACCTAATTTATTTTTAGTTTGTAATTAAATTAAAATTTATCCAAGCTTAATAACGAAGCATGTAATTTTGCCACATATGATTTCGAAGCACCAAAAGCAACCACGTAGGCTCAACGCGTTCTGGATTAATATATAGGGGGATAAGATGCAATATTCAATAAAAGTTTTATAATATGCAGGAAAATTATACAATAAAATAGTATTCGACAAAGAAACAATCATCTATTATTAAAGACCTCCTTGTACATAGATATTAAATAATTTATTAGTAAAATAGTGTATAAATTGATTACAATAACAAAACAACATGCCCGGGATTAATAAAAATACTCCATGGATTGAAGATTTAATGGGATTAAATATTTAAATTAATTAATTTAGATAATTCAAAAGTCATCCAACATTGTTTTGACTTAATATATTACAGCATGAGTATACTTTAAATATATTAAAATTTAAGGAACTTTAGACAACATATATTTTAAAGAATTATTTTAGGGAACTTTAACAGCATATTTACTTCACCCATAAAACAGATTATATTTCAATAACATAGTTATAGTATTATTTAAGGAACTTGAAACAACATTGTTCAATATTTACGTCCACCCATAAATATTTTGTAAGTCGAAGGTAATTAATCGCGTGCCATTTTTTTTGTTTGTTTGTTCAATTTTTTTGACAAAACTGATGTCATGGATAAAATAATTAAATATTAAATAAATTAATTACATAATTTTAAATAATACGCTTTAGACAAATATAGAAATGCGAATAATTCTTTCATGCCAAACAACGCAATTTCAAAATTGACTCAGATCCAACAATTTTATCCAATATTTCATTAAAATAAATATTAAATAAAATTCTTTAAACAGAAATTAGATAAGAAATTTTGAATCTGCTTTTTTTTTTAGTATAGATAGACTTTACGTACAATTTTTTACTTCACCGATTTTATGAGATTTGTTTTGACTAAATTGATGTTATTATGGAATAAAACAAATAAATAAAACCTTTTTTTTATTTTAGTAAAGATTTTACGTAATCTTTTTTGACTTATCGAGGGATTTTTTTTCTTCAACCTAATAAATTTGGTAAATAGGATACCTTATTATATAAGTATAGATTATTGAAATATATGTAGAGATAATATGGAGAGAGAATGGCAAGTAAATCAAATGAGATAATTATCTGTAGTAACAAATCAGATAAGATTGTAATCGATTTATCGTCAATGATAATCATCTGCTTTACGCGTTCAAATATAATTACACATGTTTTAATTTTGGGAAGTAGATTTGTATGTTGGCCCATCATATATAATTACACATGTTTTAATTTTGGGAAGTAGATTTGTATGTTGGCCCATCATATGAGCTATCGTAATCTCTACATATATTAAGATTTTATAATTGCATTAAATAAAAGATTTTATAGAATAGATTTACGTACAGAATTTTGATTGTTTTTGTTCACCGGTTTTTATGGGATTTTTATGTCAAGATAAGAAAGATTAGAAACAATATGTAAATAGGATACCTAATTAAAAGTATAAATACATTGATTACTACTTGATAAAATTAGAAGTTCATTAATTAAATTTGACTTTTCTATCTACTATATTTAGTAAATATGATTCCCTTTAATATAAGCATAAATATTTCATATTACACGGCCTATTTCCATCTCACTGTAAATAATTGATATAAAAATGAGCTGTGCACAAAGCGATTCAAGTGCCCAAGACTTCCTTATCCCATCCATAACTTCAAAACTTTATCCTTGCCTCCAGATGCTATTTACTCACCATCTGGACTTCAATCAATTGCAAATACCTAAAGACACATAACAAATTGGGATATGAATATGTAACAAGAATGGGAAAAAACGAACCTCAAATTTCGATTATGCCCCTGTCGGCAGTATCAAAAAAAAAAAAAAAAAATCTCTAAATTTCCTTTCCATATCCATAAACAATTAACAATACTTTCAAGTTTCAATTCACTATCAAAACCAAACACTTGGACCTATCTCGTGCCACATCACCGGGAATTAAAAATAAGATCCGAATGGAAGTCACGTCAGCTTTTTCAGCAAATATGAGCACCGGAATGTCGATTTGGACTAAGATTGCCAAAAAAAATGTTAAGTGATGTAGGGAAAACGTACGAGTGGGAAGGATAAAAGGAGTAAACGAGATACTCACTCGTAAAACACGTAAAACGAGATACTCTCTCGATAACTCACAATCAATTCATCTTTTATTCATAATCAACTGAATAAAACAATAGAGGATGAGTCCTTTATATAAGGCTCCTAAAACCCTAATACTAACTTGTCCAACAAGACAAGAATCCTAACAATATAATAAATAAATAAGTTTCCTACCAAATCTATAATACCACTAATAATAATAATAATAATAATAATAATAATAATAATAATAATAATAATAATAATAATAAAGATGGAAACAAATAATAACATCCTTATCTCCATCAAAAAGTCAACCGGAAACAATTAAAGGACGAAAGTGAAACGAGAGTAAAATTAATAGACTAATAGTACAATTTTTCGTGAAAATTATGTGAGCTAATGAATAGTAAATTGAAGTTGATGTGATATGTAAGAATGATTTTTTTTTTCCTAACTCTCACTAAAAACTTTTTACAAAAATTTTTAGAATAAAAAAAATTTAAAAAATGTTCACCTTACTTTTTTAAGTAAATTCTTAGCCTTTAAATATATAAATTATGTAAAGTCACATAAAATTTGTATATAGAAATATATTTTAATATAATTTAGTTAACATGTTTAAAAATATCTAAAATATTATATGTTATTCTTGAATGTTATGTATTAAATTTTATCAAAGGCTTTTATTAATCTTAAGTAACATCAATGCTACAAATAAACAAAAATATAAATATGTATCATTATATAACCAAAGTATGAAAAATAGTTTAATTTATATAATAAGTGAATGAATACTAATTATTGAGTTTATGAAAACTTAAAAGGAATTTTATTCTAAGAATAGTACGAGAATAGTTGTCTGGGAATTGTTGAATTTGAACTTTTGCTTCCCACTTTGTAATGATAGAGAATAATTTATTTGGTTATTACAATTTTCTTTTCCTATCACCTTGTTCTACTTTTTATTATTTTATAGTTTCAGGGATCTAGATCTTGTTCTTATTTTATTAAATAGGTGACAGATTTTGTCATTGATTTGAATGTATTTTCCTTCTTAGATAGGATGTAGAATGGGAGCGGACCTTCTAATAGATCTTATCTTATGATTATTTATGTTAAGGGGATTCAAATACTTGTTCTTTTTCTATGTAAAATAAATATTTTAATTTGAATAGTTGAATATAACTCCAAGAGATTGAGTAGGTTTACACAAATCATTTTACAGTTTTACTTTAAAAAATATTTAACATGATCATACAAATTGAATAATAAATTTATACCCTTTTCAATTTAAAATTATTAAGGGGTATGTTTGAGATTTCTAAAAAAATTTTGAAACTTTAGAAATCCTGAGAATTAAGTTAGAACTTTTTAAGATATTTAAAATATCGAGGTACTTATTTGAGAATTTAAAAAGTCTTATAAAATCTCGAGTTACTTAACTTATTAAAAACTAGAATTTGCTAAGACTTTTTAAGATCTGTTGAAATTTCGAAAGAAAAAGCCTATACAAAATCTCACTCCAAATATCACATCCAGACTTAAGATTACACTAATAATAACACCTTGGCCTTGTTTGGTAGTTGGCGGTTAGCTGTTAGCTGATAGCTGATTGTAATAGCTGTTTTGACCCGCTGATTGTGTCAGCTGTACCATGGGATAGTAATAGCGGTTTTCAAAAGTATGTTTGGTAAAAGTAGCTTATTGATTCATAAAAATATTTGGTATTATTAACTTGAAAATTATTTTGATATAAATACATATTGTTTATATTCGTTTAATTATTTTATATTAACAAAAAATATTATTGATATAATAAGTATTTTCAAATTATTTTTTAATTTTTTTATATTAAAAGTAATAAGTAAAATAATATATAAATTAAACTTACAAATAAATGATTTCACAATACTAAAATATGTTTACAAAATTATGACATGTAATATTGTTATGATTCTATAAAAGAATCTCATGCAGTGTATTATGTTAAATAATAGAGGTTAAAAAATAGATCACCCACAAATTGTTTTGTTGATAATATAATATTAAAAAAATGAGGTTAAAAAATGGAACGTCCACCCACAATACAGTGAATTCTATTGTTTTGTGATTTTTAATATAAAAAATAAAGACCATCATCCACTCTAACTAGTAATTGGTTAAATCAAAAGTATTAAAAACAAATGAAAAATCTATCCAATATGCATAAGATGTTGCAAAACGCTCCTATTTCTAGCGTTTTTATTTTTAGCTTATTAGCTCAATCAACTAAAGCAAAAAGCCATTTAACCAAACACTAATTTTAGCTGGTTTGACCTAATAAAAAAGCTAAACTCCCTAAAAAGCTAAATTTTCTCAAAAAGCTATTAAACAAACAAGGCCCTTATTTATAATTTTTTAATATATTATTATTTTTTTGATCTTGGCTCCGCCTTCAACCCGAACCAGCTCCCAAGGTGCAGCCTAATGCTGCAAACGAACCGTATTGAACTGAGCTTGGGCTATTCGAGCTCGAGTTCGGCTAATCTTCGAGCTTGTTCGAGTTCGTTCGTTTACTAGTCGAGCTTAAATTTATGTTCTTTTTCATTCGTTAAGTTGTTCGTTAAGTTTGTGTTTGGCTAGTTTAGCTAACCGAAATTATTTGAACTTTACGAACGTTCGGTTAGCTCGAATTGTTCAATTATCAAAACTAAAGAAATGCTCATTATTATTATTATTTAAGGAATGCTTATTATTATTATTATTATTATTATTATTATTATTATTATTATTATTATTGTTGTTGTTGTTGTTGTTGTTGTTATTATTATTATTATTATTATTATTATTATTATTATTATTAAAAGTCTTGTTGGTCGCGAACACTCGTTTATATCCGCGAATGTGTTCGTGTTCGTTCGAATAATAAACAAGTTAAATTACATGTACGGGCTCAACTCTATCATTAAACGAACGAGATTTAAACAAAGCCCTAACAAGCTTTCCTTCGGTTTGCTTGCCGCAGTAATGCAGCCCAATGTGACCACTACATAATAGAGAAAAGAAATGTGAACCGGGGCATATATACAAGTTTCTGAAAGACTTGTCTGTTTGTGCCACTCATCGGTGTAGTATTAGTAATCTATGCAGGTGTCAAACACTATTCTAAAAGTCCGCTTAGGCGGCGCCCAGACGCTAGGCGGTGCCCGGGCGCCTCCGATTTGCACAAATCGGTCAAAAAAATCGGCCAGGCAGCTAGGCGGCAGCTAGGCGGGCCTAGGCGGCTCTAGGCGCTCCTAGACGGCCTTGGCGGGATCAGCGGCCAGACGGTTAGGCGGCGCCTAGGCGGGCGTAGGCGGACCTAGGCGCTCTTAGGCGGGCTCGGCGACAATTTTTCAGTTTTTTTTTTCTTATTTTTTAAATACTAATTACAATATTTTGTCCTCATGTTTTCTTCAAATATATTAATATTATTATTTGGACTTAAGTGTGTCGATTTATTATAAATTGAGATAGTTTTATTTTGTAAGTAGTTAAATAAATAAAAAATAAGGTATTTAATATTGATTTTTAGGCCCCGACTAAGCGCTGCCTAGGCCCCGCCCAGGCGCTCTAGGCGCTAGGCGCTGGTTGAGTGTCTAGCGGGCGCCTAGCGACTTTTAGAACACTGGTGTCAAATGCGTTGAATCCGACTGATCCAAGGATTGATATGATATATATTTTCCATGTCACTGCAAATAATTGAGAAATATTATAGGTACATAATATTGTACACATGTGTACATAACACTCACATTATGTGAGTGGGACCTAAAAAAAAGAAAAATCAAGTGGACCCCACTCCATGTGAGTCTATATACACTTATGCGTAAATTTATTATGTACTTGTAGCATTTTCCAATAATAGATATAAAAGTAAGCTGCGCACAAAGCCATTCAAGTGCCCAAGATTTCCTTATCCCATCCATAACTTCAAAACTTTATCCTTGCCTCCAGATGCTACTTTCTCACCATCCGGACTCCAATCAACTGCAAATACCTAAAGACACAAAACAAATTGCGATAAGAATATGTGAAAAAGAATGGGAATAAACGAACCGTAAATTTCGATTCTGCCCCTGTGGACAGTATCGAATTTGCTCTCGAACCGAAACAAGTCCAGTTCTCTCATTGGGTTGGGTGTTGTTGGAGGCCTTACTTCATCTGCATGCCCCGGAAGATCTTGCTTCAACTTCTGAGTCCGAATATCCCACACCTGTTTAGAAAACGCCACTTGAGTAACAGTTTTTGAGGTAAATTTGTCCGAGATGACATTTTAAACGTCTAATGAAAAAAAGACATACCTTCAAGGTCGAATCTTTGCTTCCACTCAAGAGCAGCCTACTGTCAGCCGACCAACTGCAGCAAAATGTGCCGATTCAGATCGCAGCCTTAGTACGGATAATGAACAAGTAAAACATTGGAAATAAATGTAACCTTATTTGATAGACGGGGCCCACATGACCACGGAAGGCAGCCACGAATTTTCCAGTGACTCCGTTCCATAGTTTAACCGACTTGTCAAAGGAGGCACTCGCGATCCACAGACCGTCCGGAGAGAAGTAGACATGGTTTACAAGCTACAGCACAAAAAAAAAATAATAAAATAAAAATCTAGGATTAGGGACATGAACATGGAGAGTATTATTTTCTCTCGTGAATAAAGGCTTATTTGTAATTTATTTTTTTAAAAAAAAAAAAAA